GTGCTGTACCATAGGGCTCGCTCGCTGGCCCAGAGCTGCTGGCTCTCCTTTTAGAAGGCCAGGCTCTCCCATGGCTGGTTATTATATATACCTCAGGCAATGTTTTTGGTCCCCCTGCGATTGCGCTGGCTCCATTTTGGGCGTCGGTCGTCAAGTGAACACACCAACTTCACTATTTCATTTCAACGAGTTCGACAAAACCATCAGTGTTCAGAAGGCGTGAAACAGGAGGCAAATTCGTAAAGCAGTGATAAGTAGAATTTTCAAAATACTTACTGAGCACTTTCCTCCATCTGCGTTTTATGTTTCTCGGCATTCTTCTCCTTCTTCCTCTGCTCCTTTGTTTTGCTCTTGTCTTTTTTGCTACTACGACTGCGCTTTTCTTTCTCTTTCGATGTCGCTTCTGGCTCAGTGGTAAATACAACCGGCGCTGATGGTGTTTGACCCTGCAACCAAAATTTTTGATGAATCTCGCACGAATAAAAATTCATGCCCTATGGCAGATTCATAAAAAGAAAGCAGAAACGGAGGGAGAGAATAGGAAGAAAGGCAATTTCAGAGAGATCGAGTTCGTTTTTACTATTGTCGACTGCAAAAAAAAAGGAATTTTTAGCCTCAACATAACTAAAGATAAAACACTATTCTTGCATTTTCCCTATACACCGCATACACCTCTCAATTCACTAGTGTATCAGCTCCAAAAGCAGGACCGGACAGCTTATATCAACTAATAGCTAATCCTCCAAACCTTTATTAGGGCTTCTTGAAGTTTCAATGATGCGATTCTGGAAAAAAATCCGCAATTTTAGGCCTCCTGCAGTAAAATAAGGATGTGAAAGGATCAGATTTTGCGCTGAATATCACATTGTTGCTTTGGGAAGGGCTCAAAAGGAAAAAAAAAGAGGGTGAAAAATAGGCTTAAGAAACGAGATCACCAAAAATACCATAGTGCCCCGAGGTGGCTGCAAAACGTCTGTGATTTGTTTTCTCAAAACTCGATCTTCTAGTAAGTTCTTCCAAAGCTCGGCTTTCCAAAACTCGACTCTTTTGGCGAAGACTGAGGACAGGAAAGGAGAGCGGAAAAAGAGGAGGGTATGTGGAAGAGAAACAATGAGGTGAGCGTTTCACAAAGTTATTATTTTTTTATGCGTTTTTGCAACTATGCAATGCAGAAAACGCATATTGACGAGAGGTTGTCTGTCTGTGTGTGTGTCTGTGTGTTCGTCTGTACCTACTTTTCATCTCGAGACCGGCAAAAGCTACGGGGCTGAAACTTGGGGGGGGGGGGGATAATCTACATG